TTTTTTGGTTGTTTTTTTTGGGGATTTTTGTGGGATTTTTTCCTCCAGCAACCCACAGTTTTTCGGTGCCGATTTTGGGCTGAATTCTGGGGATTTGGGGGTTTTTTTCAGGGATTTGGGGTCATTTTTGGGTTTTTTTCAGGGATTTTGGGGCATTTTTTGGTTTTTTTCGGGGATTTTTTTGGGATTTTTTCCTCTGAAAACCCGCAATTTTTCGGTGCTGATTTTGGGCTGAATTCCGTGAATTTTGGGGTGAATTCTGGAGATTTTGGGCTGAATTCTGGAGATTTTGGGCTGAATTCTGGAGATTTTGGGCTGAATTCTGGAGATTTTGGGCTGAATTCTGGGGATTTGGGGGCATTTTGGGGTTTTTTTCAGGGATTTTGTGGCATTTTTTGGGTTTTTTTCAGGGATTTTTTTGGGATTTTTTCCTCTGAAAACCTGTGATTTCTTGGTGCCGATTTTGGGCTGAATTCTGATGGTTTTGGGGTTTTTTTTTCAGGGATTTTGGGCCATTTCCCAGGGATTTTGGGTCTTTTTTTTTTTTTTCCCATGGATTTTTTGGGGCATTTTTGGGTTTTTTTCCAGGGATTTTTGTGGCATTTTTTGCTCCAGCAACCCAGGATTTTTCTTGGCTGATTTTGGGCTGAATTCTGATGATTTTGGGGTTTTTTTTCTTGGATTTCGGGCCATTTTTCAGTGAATTCTGATGGTTTTGGGGTTTTTTTTTCAGGGATTTTGGGCCATTTCCCAGGGATTTTGGGTCTTTTTTTTTTTTCCCATGGATTTTTTGGGGCATTTTTGGGTTTTTTTCCAGGGATTTTTGTGGCATTTTTTGCTCCAGCAACCCAGGATTTTTCTTGGCTGATTTTGGGCTGAATTCTGATGATTTTGGGGTTTTTTTCTTGGATTTCGGGCCATTTTTCAGGGATTTTGGGGCATTTTCCAGCTGTTTTGGGGCATTTTTGGGGTTTTTTCAGGGATTTTTGGGGTATTTTGGGCCTCCAGCAACCTGCAATTTTTCGGTGCCAATTTTGGGCTGAATTCTGATGATTTTGGGTTTTTCTTCGGGATTTTGGGCCATTTTCCAGGGATTTTGGGTAATTTTTTGGTTTTTTTCGGGGATTTTGGGGCATTTTCTGCTCCAGCAACCCAGGATTTTTTGTGGCCGATTTTGGGCTGAATTCTGGGGATTTTGGGGTAAATTTTGGGGCATTTTCCAGGGATTTTGGGCTCATTTTTGGGGTTTTTTTCGGGGATTTTGGGACATTTTGGGGTTTTTTTCAGGGATTTTGGAGCATTTTTTGGGGTATTTTGGGGTTTTTTCAGGGTTTTTTTTGGGGTTTTTTTCCTCTGAAAACCCGGGATTTTTTGTGGCCGATTTTGGGCTGAATTCCGTGAATTTTGGGGGGAATTCTGGGGATTTTGGGCTGAATTCTGATGATTTTGGGGTTTTTTTCTTGGATTTCGGGCCATTTTTCAGGGATTTTGGGGCATTTTCCAGCTGTTTTGGGGCATTTTTGGGGTTTTTTCAGGGATTTTTGGGGTATTTTGGCCTCCAGCAACCCAGGATTTTTCGTGGTTGATTTTGGGGTGAACCCTGAGGATTTTGGGCTGAATTCTGGGGATTTTGGGGTTTTTTTCAGGGATTTTTGGGCATTTTTTGGGGTATTTTTGGGGTTTTTTTCAGGGATTTTTTTGGGATTTTTTTTCCTCTGAAAACCCGGGATTTTTTGTGGCCGATTTTGGGCTGAATTCCGTGAATTTTGGGGTGAATTCTGGGGATTTTGGGCTGAATTCTGATGATTTTGGGGTTTTTTTCGGGATTTTGGGCCATTTTCCAGGGATTTTGGGTAATTTTTTGGTTTTTTTCGGGGATTTTGGGGCATTTTCTGCTCCAGCAACCCAGGATTTTTTGTGGCCGATTTTGGGCTGAATTCTGGGGATTTTGGGGTAAATTTTGGGGCATTTTCCAGGGATTTTGGGCTCATTTTTTGGGTTTTTTCAGGGATTTTGGGGCATTTTGGGGTTTCTTCAGGGATTTTTTTGGGATTTTTTTCCTCTGGAAGCCCACAATTTTTCGGGGCCGATTTTGGGCTGAATTCTGATGATTTTGGGGTTTTTTTCGGGATTTTGGGCCATTTTCCAGGGATTTTGGGTAATTTTTTGGTTTTTTTTCAGGGATTTTTTGGGGATTTTTTTCCTCTGAAAACCCGGGATTTTTCGGTGCCGATTTTGGGGTGAATTCGGTCGATTTTGGGGTGAATTCTGGGGATTTTGGGCTGAATTCTGGGGATTTTGGTTCATTTTTCAGGGATTTTTGAGGGATTTTGGGGCATTTTGGGGTTTTTTTTCAGGGATTTTGGGGCATTTTGGGGTTTTTTTCAGGGATTTTGGAGCATTTTTTGGGGTATTTTGGGGTTTTTTCAGGGTTTTTTTTGGGGTTTTTTTCCTCTGAAAACCCGGGATTTTTTGTGGCCGATTTTGGGCTGAATTCCGTGAATTTTGGGGTGAATTCTGGGGATTTTGGGCTGAATTCTGGGGATTTTGGTTCATTTTTCAGGGATTTTTGAGGGATTTTGGGGCATTTTGGGTTTTTTTTTCAGGGATTTTTTCGGGGTTTTTTTCCTCTGAAAACCCGGGATTTTTCGGTGCCGATTTTGGGGTGAATTCGGTCGATTTTGGGCCCGCAGGTGTCGCACTTCCCGTTCGACTGGCAGAACTGCTCGCTGAATTTCCGCTCGGGCTCCTACGGCCCCGGCGAGCTGCGGCTGCAGCCGGGGGGCCCGGCCGGGCCCTGGGGGGCGCAGGTGGCGCTGCCCCCCGACTTCCAGGGTGAGTTTGGGGTGAATTCCCGCGGTTTTGGGGCATTTCGGATTTTTCGGGATTTTTTGGGATTTTTTAGGGATTTTTTTCGGGGGATTTAACTTGATTTATTTATTCTTTTTGGGGGATTTTGGGGGATTTTTTGGTGTTTTGGGGTCCTGAGGGTGCTGCCCCCCGACTTCCAGGGTGAGTTTGGGTTGAAATCCCTCGATTTTGGGGTTTTTAGAAATTTTTAGCAAATTTTTTTATTATTTTTTGGGGATTTTTTTGGGTTTTTAGGGGTTTTTTAGGGAATTTTTTTGGGTTTTTGGGGGTTTTGGGGCCCTGGGGGGCACAGGTGGCACTGCCCCCCGACTTCCAGGGTGAGTTTGGGGTGAATTCCCAAGATTTTGGGGCATTTTGGGTTTTTGGGAATTTTTTAGGGAATTTTGGGGGATTTTTTTTGATTTTATTCGATTTTTTGGGGAATTTTTTAGGAATTTTGGGGTTTTTTGGTGGGTTTGGGGTTCTGGTGGGGCTGCCCCCCGACTTCCAGGGTGAGTTTGGGGCAAATTCCCGATATTTTGGGACATTTAGGATTTTTAGGGATTTTTAAGGGATTTTTTTGGGATTTTTTGGGGGGATTTTTGGGGGTTTTATTTGATTTTTTTATAATTTTTGTGATTTTTTTGTGAAGATACTATGCAGAAAACAGCACAGAGTAGAGGGAATATTTAAGTTCAGGATTTTGGGTTGTGAGTTCAGAGGCAGTAAGTTGCTTTTGTAATTTCTGATTTTGTTCTTGTTTTTTGGTTTTTGTTTTGGTTTTTTTTGGTTTTTTTTTTTTGGTTTTGGTTTGGTTTTAGTTTTTTTATTTGTTTTTTGTGGGGTTTTTTGTTTGGCTTTTTTGGTTTTTTTTGGGTTTTTTTTTTGGTTTTTTGGGCGAAATTTTTGGGTTTTTTTGGGGCATTTTGGGCTCCAAATTTGGGGGATTTTGGGGTTTTTGGTTTTTTTTATAATTTTTGTGATTTTTTTGTGATTTTTTTTGTGATTTTTTTGTGATTTTTTTTGTGATTTTTTGGGCTTTTCGTGGGTTTTTTCCTGGGGGTTTTTGTGATTTTTGGGGTTTTTTGGTGGGGTTTTTTTGGGTTTTTACACCTGGATACACCTGGATACACCTGGAGGCGTTTAACACACACCTGGGCACACCTGTCTTTGTCACACCTGTCCCTGTCCCATTACCTCTGTCACACCTGTCCAGGTGTTCTCACCTGTGTCTCACCTGTGTCTCACCTGTCCAGGTGAGAAGATGTCCCTCTCGCTGTTCGCGCTGCTGACCCTGACCGTGTTCCTGCTGCTGCTGCCCCATTACCTGTGTCACACCTGTCCAGGTGTTCTCAGCTCTGTGTTACCTGCCTGTTACCTGTGCAGGTGTTCTCACCTGTGTGTGTCTCACCTGTGCAGGTGAGAAGATGTCACTGTCACTCTTCGCCCTGCTCACCCTGACCGTGTTCCTGCTCCTGCTGGCCGACAAGGTGCCGGCCACGTCGCTGTCCCTTTACCTGTGTGTTACCTGTGTGTTACCTGTGCAGGTGACCTCACCTGTCCATGTTTACCTGTCCAGGTGAGAAGATGTCGCTGTCCCTGTTTGCCCTGCTCACCTTGACCGTGTTCCTGCTGCTCCTGTCCCATTACCTGTGTCACACCTGTTACCTGTCCCACACCTGTGCAGGTGTTCTCACCTGTGTCACACCTGTGTCTCACCTGTCCAGGTGAGAAGATGTCGCTGTCGCTGTTCGCGTTGCTCACCCTGACGGTGTTCCTGCTGCTCCTGTCCCATTACCTGTGTGTTACCTGTGTCTCACCTGTCTGTGCCATATTACCTGTGTGTTACCTGTGCAGGTGACCTCACCTGTGTGTGTCTCACCTGTGCAGGTGAGAAGATGTCGCTCTCACTCTTCGCGCTGCTCACCCTGACCGTGTTCCTGCTGCTGCTGGCCCATTACCTGTGTGTTACCTGTCCCACACCTGTGCAGGTGTTTTCACCATTGTGTTACCTGTGTGTTACCTGTGCAGGTGACCTCACCTGTCCATGTTTACCTGTCCAGGTGAGAAGATGTCTTTTGTGGGGTTTTTTCCCTGTTTTTTGGGGTTTTTTTGTGATTTTTTTGGCATTTTTTACGTTATTTTGTGATTTTTTTTGTGATTTTTTTTGTGATTTTTTGGGCTTTTTTTGTGGGGTTTTTTTCCTGTTTTTTGGGGTTTTTTTGGTTCTTTGGTGGGGTTTTTTTGGGTTTTTTGTTAATTTTGGGGTTTCTCACCTGTCCCCCCCAGAGAACGGGCAGTGGTCCCTCGTCCACCGCTCGGGGGGCACCTGGGGCTCACCTGGAGCCCCCAGGTGTGCTCTGAGCGCACTTTTTGGGATTTTTTGGGTTTTTTGGTGATTTTTTGGGGTTTTTTCCCGGTTTTTTTGGGGGTTTCCAGGTGTATTTTTGGGGAGATTTTGGTTTATTTCGGGTTTCTCACCTGTCCCCCCAGAGAACGGGCAGTGGTCCCTCGTCCACCGCTCGGGGGGCACCTGGGGCCCCCCGGCCTCACCTGAGGGCGTCTCCTTCCACCTGGTGCTGCGGCGGAAGCCGCTCTTCTACCTGGCCACGGTGCTGGTGCCCTGCGTGCTGACCACGCTGCTGGCCGTGGGGGTCTTCCACCTGCCCCCCGACGCAGGTGAGCGCACCTGGGCACACCTGGATACACCTGGATACACCTGGAGGCGTTTAACACACACCTGGGCACACCTGTCTTTGTCACACCTGTCCCTGTCCCATTACCTCTGTCACACCTGTCCAGGTGTTCTCACCTGTGTCTCACCTGTGTCTCACCTGTCCAGGTGAGAAGATGTCCCTCTCGCTGTTCGCGCTGCTGACCCTGACCGTGTTCCTGCTCCTGCTGGCCGACAAGGTGCCGGCCACGTCGCTGCAGGTGTTCTCACCTGTGTCTCACCTGTCTGTTACCTGTGCAGGTGTTCTGATCTCTGTGTTACCTGTCTGTTACCTGTCCAGGTGAGAAGATGTCGCTGTCACTCTTCGCCCTGCTGACCCTGACCGTGTTCCTGCTGCTTTTGGCCGACAAGGTGCCGGCCACGTCCCTCCAGGTGCCGCTCATCGGCCGCTACCTGACGGGGACGCTGGTGCTGCTGGCGCTGGTGGTGGCGCTCAGCGTGGGCGTGCTCAACCTGCACCACCGCTCACCCGGCACGCACGGCATGCCCGCCTGGGCACGGCAGGTGAGGGGCACCTGGGACAGGTAAAAATGCAAAAATTCCGGGGAAAAAACTCCAAAAAATGGGCAAAAATGGCAAAAATGGGCACAAAAAGTGACCCAAAACTCACCTGGGCACACCTGGGCACAGCTCAACCTGCACCACCGCTCGCCCGGCACGCACGGCATGCCCACCTGGGCACGGCAGCCGGAACGCACGGCATGCCCACCTGGGCACGGCAGGCGAGGGCGCACCTGGGACAGGAAAAAATGCAAAAATTCCGGGGAAAAAAGTCAAAAAATTGGGCAAAATCCAGCTGAAAATGGCAAAAAAACAACCCAAAACTCACCTGGGCACACCTGGCCACGCCCCCAGGTGAATTTTGGGGGTCCCAGGTTGAATTTTGGGACATTTTGGGGTTCTCAGGTAAATTCTGGGGTTCCTGGGTGGAAATTTTTGGGTTTTCAGGTGACTTTTGGGACATTTTGGGTTTCTGGGTGGGAATTTTGGGGTTCCCAGGTGAGAATTTTG